CAATCTGACGGCGGGCCCAAGACTTGAGTTAAGGCATCAGGAAAAGTCAAGCGGAGAACAGGGCCAAGCTAGCTTTTGCTTCGCACGAGACCGAAGCAACTGTAAAGCAAAGCCATGAGCAACAACTCGAGCAACTGCAGAACCAAAGCAAGCGATGGCAACAGCCAGACATGTAAGCCAAAAAGAGATATGAGTGCAGGGAAGGCAAGGCGAGCGCAAGGCCGAAAGACTCAACACAAGATGTACAAGACAAGTAGGATCAACCGTAAAGCAACGAGCAGACAAGGGGCCGAGTCGTGGTGAAAAGGTTTCCAATCAGATCCATCTCTGTACCAGTTGAAGCGGGTGCCGCGATTGCCTTCTGCTGCCTTGAAGTACTCGCCTTGGTTTGACATACCACTCCCCCATCTTGGTACGCGACGCATATATGACTCCTCCTCATTCACACGATGGGCAACAGTATGTAAGTCCCAAGTTACAGTTCAGCACGTATGCTTAGCCTCAGTAGTCTTGCCCTGCAGCCTATAAGACTCATGCGCCCCCTTGGGATTTGAGTCCCATTTGGGCCCTTAGCTTCTTTCATGAAGCTTCTGGACAAGCAGCACATTCGCTCCAAGACCTTGTTGTAGGTTCTGGAGCCACTTGGATTTTGGCTCAGCAAGTGAGCGCCCTCGTGCCAGGAGATCCATTCCGCCTGCGATGGGACCCACTTGGAGAAGGGGCTTCACAGCTCAGGCGAGACCAACATGAAACGTATCCAACAAAAACGCGGTGAAAGAAACGGAAGCAACAAAGCTGAGTCTGCTGAGTCATGTTTCTCGTGTCCCGGTCATCCTTTGAGGTAGTCACCAAGTCAGGGCTTGCGCCTTCTCGAGCTGCCATACACTGGAAAGTTCAGTACATCCCGTGTCTTCGAGGCGCAATCCACGAGGGCATGTGCGCTTAATTTAGAACCTGGCGCGCATCCGTTTAGCCTTCCACGGAAAACTTCATCACGTGGCAGTGGCTCAAATACATGTACCAAAATGGAACCTTGGTCAATGAAACCAACTAAAATCCGCGTGACCGCGGCTGATGAACTTTGAGCCACGCATTTTGCGCTCACCCCACAGCAACCGCCTTGCGGTCTCCATTCGCTTGGCTCTGGCGCATCTCCTGCCGGAGGCTCCCAAAACTCACGTCCCCGTTCGATTGAGGACACGGTTGTGGGATCACTCGGGGCTTATCCAACCAGTTCTGTGATACTTTTGGGAATCTCCCCTTTTGTATGGGGGGTTAGTCTTTGGGAAGTCCTTTCTGTTGTATCACAGAAGTGGTCATTTCCCACAGCCCTGATTGAGGATATCCGCAGGTTCCCCCCGAGGGACCCCAATTTTTGCAGCTGACTGCGCCTGAATCAGGGCGTAGTAGGTCTCCCAATCCTCCTCTTTGCAGAAGAACTCAGGCACAATCACCACGTCATCGTGCTTCACGGGGCCGGCGTAGCGCCTGGATGCTGGCACCTTGCAGCCAGGCGCGACAAAGGCGCGTCGCCTTTGAGCTAAAGCCAACACCTTGTTTGAAAGGACGGGGGGTTGTGGCCCCTTTCTCAATTGACGGAGTGTGTTTGTCTTTCTTGGGCCAGAATCACCGAGAGCAGGCTATGGCTCAGGACTGGCAAGCGGTTTCCCGCGGCCAGAGTTATTGTGGATGTTTGGCTGGGGACGGCTTTACAAGTGCTTTTGACACGTCCATTGTCATCATCTGAAGCAGACTCTCTTCTTCAAAACATCGGTGCATGGCCGAAGGTAGTTACAAACGCATCAAGAAACAGAATGCTGGAGGAGCATCTGCAACACGCTCAAAATACGCAGCAGAGAGACGAAATCACGCAACAGCTATTTTGTAGGAACTGAGAAGGCTGGCTCGTTGACACATCGAGATCGGGCATTTGAAAGTGATGGTGCATGGTTTGGGACACGGGTTTTGGCTCAAAATGCAGTTTCATGCAGTTGAAACGATCCCTCGAAGCCATTTTGAGGCGCGCCTGCCAACTCTGTTTGGGTCTTGGAATGGGTCACTTCCATGATGTCACCTGAAACAACACACGGTTTGCGCCTTGGTTTTTTGCTTTTGGGGGTTGAGACAAAACCAAGTTTCCCGCAACAACGCGCTACAGGCACACCCGGCGGCCTCCTTTTGTGAGAAGTTGTTGACGTAATGAGGGCGATACGGAGATGCCGCGGGGAATCCAGCCCAGGAAAGTGCTTCTCCTTCATAAATACCCTTTTCTGGCTGGTCAACGCCAAACATCACCCCCATAGGTGGCCTTTTCAAAAATAGATGGCCCTGGTAAATGGAACAAACCCCCATCTAAACCAGGGCCCTCTATTTTTTAAGCAAACCAACCAAAAAGGACACCTATGATCACCCCTTTGGGGGGTGCCTATTGCTCGCGTGAAGCCCAAGCGGCCGTGATGACCCGCATGGAGGGCCTGGCCGGCCAGACGGTCACCTCCTGACCGGTCTCCCGCGGGGGGTTCTCCTCGCGTCGTCTTGCTGCTTGAGGGTTGGTCCCCGTTGCTTTTGGTGGAAAACCAGAGATTTTTGTTGGCCGGGGCGTAGTTGAAACGAACGCTTCACGGGATGTGTGACAAACAAATGACCACAAAAAGGAGGCACTCAGCACAAAAAGGGATACCAGAATTCTGAACTACTGGTACTCAGAGATTTCCTTTTTTCTGGTATTGGGACCCCGGACCAAAGATCCAATACCTTCTCACACATACCGGTATGGTTGGTTTCTAAGTACCGGTACAAGTATCCGGGATCCAAGTTCCAAGACTCGGGAAGGGGGGGGGGGGGGTAGAGATATATATATATATATATGTATATATATATATATTATAGGTTTATTTAAACAATAATAGAAATAATAATACTAAATAATGAATAATACCTCACACAGTCTAAATAAAAAAATAGGAAAAAAGAAAAAGAAAAAGTGAAAGTAAATAACAATAATCATAGTTATAATGCTAAATAATAAATAATAAATCATAAATACTACATAATACATAATAAGAAATAAATAACAATAATTAAATAATAAATAATACTAATAATAATAGTTAATAATAATAGTAAACAAAATAATAAGTAATAGTAAACAATACAGAAATAAACATAATAATAGTGAATAATAGTAAATAAATGTGTTGTTTTATAATTATAATAACAATAATAGTAAACATAACAATGAGTAATAATAAGCAATAAGGCAATAACAATATAAATAAGAAAATATGATAAATACTAGCAAGTAAATAACAACAATAATAATAAATAATAAATAATACATCATAAAAAAAAACAAAAAAATGATAATAATAATCAACACATAATAATAGTAGCAACCTAATAATAAGTAACAAACAACAAAAAAAAACAGTAATAATAATAAACAATAATAAACATTAATAATAACAATAATAATAGTAATAGTAATAGTAATGACAACAATAATAACGCTAAAAAGTATATGATAAACATAATACTGATAATAATACGCAAATGACAATAAGTAAATAATAATAAAAGTAGATAGTAATAATAAGAATAATACTAATACCAATACAAATAATGATGCTAATAATACTAAAAATACTAATCATAATAACAATACTAATAATACTGATACAAATACTAATAACAACAATGATAATAGTAATATATATATATATATACATAAATATATATATATATTAATATGTTGAGGGGTATCTTAGCCGCATGTAAAAAAGCCCTTCAGAGACGGCCTTTCTGGTTTTTCCCATGATCAACACGATCCTCCTCCCCATGGGAGAACTTGCAGTTCTCGCCATAGGTGCAGCGGCCGAAACGGAAGTCTCGGCAGGGGCCCTCCTGGGCAAGGGCCGAGTCGGCATCTAGCGCCCAGAATTTGCACCCTATGGTTCTGGGGATTTGGTGGGGATCTTGGTGGGGACTTGGTGGGGATTTGCAAGAATGTCATTCTGAACTAGAGCTGGTGGCAAACTGGGAAGGTCCGAGAAGGTCGGGAACCCACAGACTGAGAAGCCACCAGCCCACCGTAAAATGGCGTTTGTTGACGTGTTTGGGGTTTTCACCTTGGTTGCTGCGGCCACCGTCTCCGCCAGCACCTCCTCCTCCTCTGCTCGGCTGCTGGGGCCCCATACATATAGCAGGACACCCTGAGGCACTTTGGCCTCACCTTGGCTGCCGTTCCGGAACCCTTGCAATAGAGGTGTCTGACCAATCAACCATACAAGTACCTGATCAGTGCGCTCATTCGTATAATGGCATGAACAGTCATGTTCCTATGCATTCATGTACGCTGACGCACGCTCTCGGCTCAAACAACAAAGCAACGGAGAACGGAGAGAGCACCTCAAAGTTGTCAAGCTGCCCATCTGCCACTTGGCCTTCACGTCACAGCCCAGCAATGTCAGCGTGCCGTTGGCCTACATGGCCATTCTATCCGTCACAACACCCCCCCCCCCGGCATTTGGTTTCTGGCAACCATCAAAAACATGCCAGACAACTCTGATGTCAACTCAGGACCCCCACCACAGGGCAACACTTTTTATACGCTTCAGAATGGAGAATCAACCTCCCGTCTTTCGACACATCATGAATTCCAGCAGAAATGGACCCTTTGGTGGATATCATTTTCCACTGCCAGTCACACTGGCAGCACGACCACAACCTGGACACATTTGGCCGTGGGTCAAAATCCCTTTTTCCCAGTGAACATCCCAATCCCCACTAAGACGAATTCACCTACCGACCAAAATGGGATTTCGTTTAAAGGTTTTGACGACCGCCATGACGTCGGCCTGGGGGAAGTACACCACCTCCCCAGTCCGACGCCGCCTGAATCCCAGCTCGCAGCCGTTGCCCAGCGCCAAAGTCAGCAGCCGGTGCCGACGGCCCACGGCCGTCCCGAAGCCCCGGCTCTTGCACTCGTTGGAGCTGCCGTCCTCCGCGGCGTCGTGCGACGATCCCTTTGGGGGGGGGGGGGAGTGGCAGGGAAGATTAGGTCCTATGTGGCGTGCGCGCGCGGGATGATTGTTTCCCCCAAAGTGGTACGCGCGGGGGGGATGTTTCCCTCACTCATGATACACACACACACACACACGCACGCGCACGCACGCACGCGCGCAAGCACGCACGCACGCACGCACGCACGCAAACACAAGCAGAGAGAGAGAGAGAGAGAGAGAGAGAGAGAGAGAGAGAGAGAGAGAAACTGAGAGAACAAAGGGCACTCAAACAGAGTGTCAGGCAATACACACACACACACACCAAGTACACTAACAAACAAAACGCCCTTTTTCTTTTTAATTTTCGAATCATTCTAGAAACTCCCAAAGGGGCAGGGGACTGTTGGGGAATTCCGAAACAATTTCTTCTAGCTTATTGAAATTTATACTTGTTCTATTTATTACCCAAGGGACGGGCGCGCTCTGGGGAATTCCAGGTGCATTGTCCTAATTCTTACAGCTATTCTGATTATTACATATTTTTCACCAAGGGACGGGTGCCCTTTGGCGAATTCCAGATTCACGTGTTTTCGAATCATTCTACGTGATTGTATATTTATTCGCAAAGGGGCGGGTGCATTTTGGGTCAAATGTGTTCGAGTTAGTCTACTTCTCATAGCAATCATCACTCTCTGATGTATTCCCACAGGAGGGTACCTTTTGGGGAAATCAACATTCATGGTTGATCTAATTATTTTACTCATTCTAACAACTTAAGCAAATCTAAGGATTCTCGTTGTTTTCAAGCCATTTGGTGAAGTCAGTGTGGTTTCCAGGTCATTCTGTTCTGATTATTCTGGTTGTAGCACGCATTCCCAACGGCACGGGGCCCGCCCCTAATTAGTTCCTTTGTTCTAGCTATTCCCAAGGAACGGGTGACTGGTGCCTTTTCGGAAATCCCAATTCCAGATTCATGTGTGTTTCAACTATAGTATTCTAACTAATCAACTTATTCTCATTCTAATCATTCCCAAAGGGGCGGGTGTGTCTTGTGGAATTCAAGATCCATGTTTGCCAGCTATTCTACTTATCATAACTATATTACTTGTTCTAATTATTATAATTCTTCCCAGAGGGACGGGTTGCTTTTGGAGAATTCCAAACCCATCTTTGTCCTACTGTCTTAATTCTTGGGTATGCTTCCCCACAAAATTACAATTATTTTCATTTATATACTTATTGCGAAAGGGGCGGGTGCCTTTGGGGGAACTCCAGATTTATGTTTGTGCTAATTATTTGAACGAATCTAAGTATTCTACTTCTTCCAAAAAGTGGGGTGCCTTTTGATGAATTCCAGATTCATGTTTTCTAACTATTCTACTTATCATAACTCTTCTAATTCTCATTATTATTCCCAAAGGGACGGGTGACTTTTGGGGAATTCAAGAGCCCTGATTGCTAAGCATTCTACTTATCATAATCATTCTATATTATTCTAATTGAATCCCTAGGGAGCTGGGGTGCGTCTTGGGGAATTCCAAGCTCGTGTTTGCCCTGGGTAGGATAATTGTGTCAAAAGGGATGGGGCCTGTTGGTGGCGAGATTCGTGGTTCTCGCATTGTTCAAACTATTCGAGCCATTCCCAAATGAGCAGCTCCCATTTAGTAAGTTCTAGATTATTTCCCTATTTTCTATTTGGTCCCAAACAGGAAGGTGCCGTTTAGTGAGTTCAAGATTCACGTTCGCTGATTAGTCTACTTATCATCAGTCTTGTAAAATACTACTATCATTATTATTTACAAGGGACGGGCACCTTTGTTGTTCTAGGTACAACAATTACTACACAAGAGGTGGGTGCCTTGTACGTCTTCCCATTATTCTTGTCATTCCCAAAGGGGGGGGTGCTTGCGACAAATTCCTGATTCTTGCTTTTTCCAATTCTTTATTCTCCAAATTGGGCAACTTTCAGATTCATTGTTTCTCTAACTACTCTACGTACAATATGTTCTGTTCTTGGGCGTGCCCAAATTATTCCAATTATTCCCAACGGGACGGGTCCCTTTTGAGGAATTCCAGATTCATTTTCTAGTCTAGCACATCTACTCATGAACTTATTATAATCATTCTTCCCAAAGGGACGGGTGCCTTTAGGGAATCTCCAGATTCATGTTTGTTCCAATCTTTCTAGTTATTCTAAATGTTCTGTTGTTTCTTATTATTCCCAAGGGGGCGGGTGCCTTTGGGGAATTGAAGATTCATGTTTTGCATACTAGCCTACTTATCATCGCCATGATTTCTCCTTATTCCAAGAGAGGCGGGCGCCTTTTGGGGAATTCCAGGTTCATAGTTTTTTCTGTTGATTCTACTTCTGATATATTTTTCTCATGATTATTCTCATTCCCAAAAAGACGGGAATTCCAGGCTCTTGTTTTTGCAACTGGTCATTCCCAAATTTGGGGGAAATTCTGATTCATGGTCTCTCTCTTATTCAACTTCAGGTGTTTTGGAACTACCCGCATTGCCCAAGTATCGCCAACGGGGCGGCCCTTTTGAGGAGTTCCAGATTCATTGTCTGCTACACTATTCTACTTCTTATGATCAGTCTTCTCAAAGGGACAGGTGCCTTCTGGGAATCTCCAGGTTCATGTGTGTATTATTCTAGTTGTTCTAACTGCTCTAATTTTCTAACTACTCCCACAGGGACGGGTGCCCTTGAAAAGATGAACATTCATGCTTGGGAAATGTTGTCTACTCATCGTAGCTATTATAATGATTATTCTTATTCCCAGAGGGACAGGTGCCTTTTGTTGAGCTCCAGAATCATGTTTGTTTTTTCAATGTTTTTAATGATTCTAGTTCTGATAACTGCTCTATTTATTCTTGGCATTCCCAAAGGGACAGGTGCCTGTGGGGAATTCCAGATTCTTGTTTTCAATTTCTTCATTCCTCAAATTGGGGAATTTCAGACTCATAGTATCTCTAATCCTTCTACTTCAGATATTTTCTGTTTTTGGAAGTACCCGGATTATTTCAATTCTGCCCAACGGGACGGGTCCCTTTTGAGGAATTCCAGATTCAATCTACTCATTAACTTATTATAATCATTCTTCCCAAAGGGACGGGTGCTTTAGGGAATCTCCAGATTCACGTTTGTTCTAATCTTTCTAGTTATTCTACATGTTCTGTTGTTTCTTATTATTCCCAAGGGGGCGGGTGCCTTTGGGGAATTGAAGATTCATGTTTTGCATACTAGCCTACTTATCATCGCCATGATTTTCTCCTTATTCCAAGAGATGCGGGCGCCTTTGGGGGGATTCCGGTTCATTGCTTTTTTCTTTTGATTCTGCTTCTTGTTCTGATCATTCTCATTCCCAAAGGGACGGGAATTCCAGGCTCTTGTTTTTGCAACTGGTCATTCCCAAATTTGCGGACATTTGGGGAAATTCGGATTACTACCCGTGTTTCCAATTATTGCCAACGGGGCGGGTCCCTTCTACTTCTTATGATCAGTCTTCTCAAAGGAACAAGTGCCTTCTGGGAAGGTTCATGTGTGTTCAATTATTCTGGTTATTCTAACTGCTCTAATTTTCTAATTACTCCCACAGGGACGGGTGCCCTTGGGAAATTGAAAATTCATGTTTGGGAAATGTTGTCTACTCATCGTAGATATTATAATGATTATTCTTATTCCGAGAGGGGCAGGTGCCTTTTGTTGAGTTCCAGAATCATGTTTGTTTTTTCAATGTTTTTAATGATTCTAGTTCTGATAACTGCTCTATTTATTCTTGGCATTCCCAAAGGGACAGGTGCTTGTGGGGAGTTCCAGATTCTTGTTTTTCAATTTCTTCATTCCTCAAATTGGGGAATTTCAGACTCATAGTATCTCTAATCCTTCTACTTCAGATATTTTCTGTTTTTGGATCTACCCGGATTATTTCAATTCTGCCCAACGGGGCGGGTCCCTTTTGAGGAATTCCAGATTCATTTTCTAGTCTAGCGCTACTTATCAACTTGTTATAATCATTCTTCCCACAGGGACGTCGTTCCCAAAGGGACGGGTGCCTTTGTGGATTTGAAGATTAATGTTTTGCAAATTAGCCTACTTATCATTGCTATTTTTGCTTCTACTTATTCCAAGAGGGGCGGGTGCCGTTTGGGGAATTCCAGGTTCATAGCTTTCCACCTTCTGATAATTGTTCTATGTATCATTCTCATTCCCAAAGGGTAGGGTGCTTTTGGGGAGGTCCAGAGTTCCACATTCATGTTTTCCAAACAATTACTTCCAGGGGGGGGAGAGAATTCCAGATGCATATTCTTGCTAATGATTGTACTTATCATAATGATTTGATTTAGTCCAATGGTTCCCAACGGGATGGGCCCCTTTCAGGAATTCCAGATCTATTATCTAATCCAATGATTCTCATGGTTCATAATCATGCTAAGTATTCTAACTATTCTCAAAGGGACGGGTGTTTTCTGGGGAGTTAAAGGTCAATCGCTTGGTACCTATTCTATTTCTCAACGTGGGTCTAATTAGCCTAATTACACGAATCTTTGAGAATCGTGTCAATATTTGGAAAACAGCACCTTATTTTGTCTAACTATTATTAACCAACATGATTTGAACAACTAGTCTAAGTAGAATATGTCTTATAAAACAACATGCTTTCTACTCGAATATGTTCAAAGGGACGGGCGCCTTTTGGAGAACTCCAGATTCATTTGTGTCCAACGTCCTAAATAGTTAGAATAAATGAACATGTTTGGGTAACTAAGTATTTAGATATTTCACACAATTTAAACAATTTCAAGGGCACCCCCTGGGCTAGTTCCGAAAATAAACGTTTCCTAATGAAAAAGTTCAAATAATTCCAAGTTATGTCCAGGGCCCTTCCTGGGCCCATTGTAGAATATTTAAAGAATCTGGGTGTCTCGAATTCAAACAATTCGAAATTATGGAATGTACAAATGTGTTTCTTAGCGCATTATTTGTTGGA